TTTGTAGGTGCTGCTGACCCAAGTGTGCCGTTGGCTGTCTGCGCACACGTGTACATGCACATAGGTACTACCATCAGCCTAAGAAGCTGCGCGTGGGTTTGCAGATTGCTGTAGGCCACCAACTGGCACTGGAATCCCAGTAACTACAAAAATAACATTTCTTGTTTTAACAAGGTCAGATTTGATTTCTGTTGCCATTGTCGTATGAACTCCAGATTTGTAAGTGGCACAGTTCACCCATCTCCTTCTCCCATCAGGAACCTCTGTGATCTTACAGCCATGTTTAACAAGCCTTCTGTCAATCAAAAACTTGTTATACAAGGATTATTTGCCTTCAGTTTCCTGTGTAATGAGGTTTTTGATTGACAACAGTGGAGCTAAAGACTATAGAAAGGCCTTCTGAATCTGAGATGAGTAAGTTTTCATTTAATAATGTTTGCACATGATAACATTTGCTTCCAGATTTATCTGTGAAAGAAACTGAAGCTGATAGATCAAAATAAGAAATACAGAAGCTCTTCTCATTTAAAAGTGATGTGAGTTATAAACTAGAGCTGGGAGAGTAACTTTCCATTTCCTACCTTGAGACTGGGATTTGAATATCATTTGCTGTACAAATATTCAAGCTATTGGGGAGCAAATGTTTTGCAAAGATGGAAGTGTCTTGGTACATTCCCAGCTGGTGGGTGGGCAATGGCTTTCCCCTCAGCCTGCCTCTGCCTGAAGACCTTCAGATACTCCTCAGATTGGGAAGTTGGGCGATGCTGTTGCCTTTTTACCTCTGTTGCCCAGACTAGTTCCTGAACTGGTGTCCTTAATTTGTGTCATGTGTTGGTTGCTGAGGGTACCTGTTTCCAAGGGTCTTAATGAGCAATTGCACTTGCTCCAGTAAATTTGAATTTCTTGAATGAAATCAAATGAAAAAATAACATTGAAAACTAAGAAAATAGGATGGGGAAAAAAAAAGCGCTAAATGATAAATCTAGGTTAATTTGTCATATTCAAAACTAAATGTTCCGAAAAATAACACGATTAAAATTTAGCTAATGGGGAAGGGCAGTCACAGGGAGGATGAACATGAGATGCAGGTGAGTTGATATGAGATGAACATATGGGTTACCTTTTGGTGAGCTAGATGGCCAGAGTTAGGCTGTGATTTACCTTCTCTTGCTCAGGCTGTGGTCTCTGTTAAGAGCTCCACACCAAGTAGCTTCCAGCTTTGGAGCAGGTGAAGCACTTGAGGAGTAGTTCTGGTCTGACTGATGCTCTACAGGGCATTAGAGCAAAGCAAGAGTGGCTGGAAGATGTAAACTCATATGTCTAAAAGTGTAGTCTCTCTTACCTAGACCAGTGTGGGTTAAATGAAAAATGCTATACGTACAGACTAAGTTTTCCCCATTGGTTCCCACTTTGTGACTGGAGATCAAAGTCCAGGTCAGGATTTTCTGAATTTTTGGGTGCATTGCTTTCTTTTGAAAGCAGGATGAATGCATCTGGGAGTTTCCCTAAGGGACCACGGTAAGGAATGCATAAGCCATTTTCCTTTCTTAGTTATAAGCACAGTGGGTGCAAGGAGTCCATTTTTCTGGACTGATGCTTTGAGTTTGGCCACAGAGAGAACCTATTATATGATAATGTGGTTTGACTGAGCTGATGAGGCTTTTCTGAGGCTGTTCAGGAGCTTTGTGGATTGCAAAGGAGAGGTTTCAAAAGAAAGGGTTCTGCAGATGAGCCCTGGCTTTAACCTCCTAAATGCAGAAGCAGACCTGTTTTATGCAGCAGGAACACACTGACTGAGTCGTGTCTTGCTGTGAGAAGGAACATTACCTTTTGCTCATTTAATCTGTCATGCTACATGGCGAGTGTGCTTAGGGAGATGGCTGATTTTTCAACTGCTTCTGGAAAATTGGTTTATTTCAGTCTTCATAACAACCCCTAAAATCATATCTTAAAACAAGGAAATAAACTCCTTTTTCCTTTTGTGCTTTATTCATAGTCTGGCTACACAACATAAAGCATGTTTTTCATCTGTAATTGTAGCACTGCGGCTTTGATTTGTGCCAGTTTTTCCCACAACAGCAAGGGAAAGGAGTTTAGAAGAGTAATTTGGTTATGAAGCTGCAGTTATTTGGGGAAATAGCTATATGGCATATGTTGTCTGTAATAAATGGAATTACTCTCTTAATTCTAAAACTAATTAGTCTTCTTTTTGCTAGTTGAATGGCAGATTTCTCCTTTAATGAATACTTCTCTGTACAGATGCCATAGTCACAAGCTTGTGGCCAGCCAGGGAGGACAGCACTAGCCTGTGCTTGGTAGTGGGTGTTCCTTGTGAGATATGCTGAAAATGTGAATCTCAAAGGTGAAATTATTGTCTGTTTCTGAGCCTTAGTAACTGGCAGGTCTCCAGCTGGCGTGTGTCACTGCTACAGCTGACTGATCCTGCCTTGCTGTTTCTTCCCTTTTTCCAAAACTCCAACTGAGAGAACTGACTGGATGTAGTTCATGCATTGAACTTCATATGGAAAATAGGAATAAGCATCCTTCAGCTGCTTGATCCTGGCTTCCTATTGAGACTGACAGTTCCTGAGCATATCTAGAAGGAATTCAGCTGCCTCTAGCAAAGTAGGACTGGACAAAAGCCGAGCAGAAGCTTTATGAGTTTAGTATTAAACTCTGGATCTTCTAAGTTGGTGTTACAGTGCCAGTCACTGATCAAAGTAGTCCCAAGTCCTAGGGCTGATAGCATAGGTCAATGCTGGTTTGTGCTGGGTTTTTTTTGGGGTTTTTTTTGGTTTGTTTTTGGTTTTTTTTTTTGTTTGTTTTGTTTTGGTTTTTTTTTGTTTGTTTGTTGGTTGATTGGTTGTTTTTTTTTTTTAAAGTTTAATCTTATAGATGATTCTTCAGCAGAACTCTACTGCAAAAAACTCCACTCAGTGTGTAATACAAATGAAGCTACTGAGGTATGTTGCATACCTGCAGCACACCCTCACCTAATATACTTTAAGTATGGGTTTGATTACTGCTCTATGAGGGAGGTTTGCTTGAATCACTTGCCAAAAACATTGAGCATTGTAGCTGGGGCATGGGAAATGCATGGTTTCTGGCTTAATCAGTCTGTAGGGCTGGATGGCAGCTGGTGGGCAAGGTTAGAGTGCAAACCCAGGATGAAATCGCACCTCTTCTTACAAAGCTCTGCACAGAAGCAGCAAAACAGCAATCGAAAAACCAATTCACAGCAATATTTTGAGTGTTAGTAATCAAATGATGCACTGCAAAAGACCACCTGGACTTTGCGTGGCCCAGATGGTCCACTCTGCCCCTCCTGATTTTAAATATATTATTTACAAACAAATAGGTACCAACTTTTTTTTTCTCCCTTTCAAATAATGTCTAATAAGCATTAAATCTAAGCTTTTATCATGGAATGTAGATGAAAACTTTTCACTGAATTTTTTTTTTTAATATAATATTGTGCCATGGAAGAACATGTCTTGCTTATCAGGGCGCTCGTGAAATGACTGCAACACAAGTCCTCAGCAGCTATGCTGAAGTATCATCATGCTGGCTTTCCTGATGTGTGTGAAGTGGAGGCCAGTCCTTAGACAGCTTTTAAAAATGAGCTTAATTCTTGAGTTGCAAGAAAACAAACTGAGACCGGTTCCTGTGGTTGTCTCTTGGTTTTTTTGCAAATGTATGACCATCCTGAAGACACGGAGGTTTTCCTTCGTTTGTTTTGGTGGGCTTTCAAGAGAAGGCACACCCAGGAGCACCCCTGTCTGAGTGCCAGGAGAGCAGCGAGGTCCCTGGGGTGCCATGTCCTGGCCAGGTTGGCCCTGTGCTTGCCCAGCCCCCAGGCTGGCATCTGCAGCACCGAGCTGTGCCCAGGGCAGCTCAGCTGGTGATGGTGCCCTGCAGCGTGGCACAGCAGAGGTGCTGGGGCAGCCAGGCAGGGCAAGCTGTGTTCCCCGAGCCATGGTGTGTCATCCCAGGCTGCCTGTGCCCCTCTGAGGGGTGGGAGCGGGTCCTCCATGGCTCAGCACTGTTCCTTCCTTCCTCCCTGCCTGCCCTGCTTCCACGGGAACCGCTCACGTTCAGTAAAAGCAGAGAGGTGAAAGTGCGAACCCCAGTGTTTAAGTTAAAATTGCTGACACGTTTGCAACAGCACTTTCATCTGTGTTATCTCCAGAGAGTTGCTTGTATCTGACCTTGCTCTGCATTTTTACCCTTGTGCGTCTTCAACTTGATCAAGTCGGCACAGCACATGCTGGGCACTGCGGCTGAGGAAGCAGCTTGAGTGACAGGGAAAAACAGGGGATAAGGGGTAGCAATCAGAAGTATTGAGATTCTATTTTGTTTTCAGGTAATCTCTATTTTCTCTACAAACATGCTTTCAGTACACAGTCTAGATTAAGAACAGTGTAGAATTAAACCTTTCAGTGAAACTTTCCTGAAGAAGTTTTGCAGTTGTATGTTGTGAAGCTTTGAGTTGCTTTTTGCATTGCAGAACTTCAAATTAAATTGAAATTTTCTGAGGTAATGCTTCAGATGGTGCAGGCAGTGTGTTGAAGTAAGATGCAACAACAGTAAGTTAGAGATCTTAGTGGCTTATGCAGCTTTTACAGAAATGTTCACCCCCTGTTCTTACCATATACCAGACTTCCAGACCATATTTTGAGGAGGAATTATGTTAGCCATTAAATGTTGATTTTTTTTTTTTTTTTTATGTTGCAAATGGTTGGAGATTGTTTTCTAAAATTCCCCTTTACACTGATGTGACTAAGATGTCAGTATGGGGCTACCAGCTGGTTACTTAGTGCTTTCAGATGAAGTAAGCTCAAGCGTACTCAAAACTTGATAAAAGTCTTTATTTAACTGCCAAGCCCTACTGAATTACCTCTTGGGGTGTGAAAGACTTTCTGCAGACCTGCTCAGACTCTTAGAGCGGGCTGGACACTTGCTCTCTGAACCACCTTACCTTCCTGTGGTGTGCTGCGTGCATGTGGCAGTTTGGTACAGCTCCGTGGCTGCTCTTTGACCCAGTTGCTCTTGGTAGGCGCAGCGTAACTGCTGAGAGGGTCTGTGGTGGTTCATGGTGTCCTGTGCTTTTTGCCCAGAGGTTAGTTGGGTTCCCTGGCGCCGACAGCAAGCATGGCCCTCCTTCCAGGCACACCCTGGGCGGTGTGTTGAGGTTGTGGTGGATCTTTGGGCCTGTGGCATATTGTGCTTTTGGCAGCTGGATATGTGAGGTACCTGCAAGCTTAATTCTTCCTGGCTTCTGCCGCCCTGCAGTGCTATGTTTGTTTGGTACAAGCTGAGCCTTGTGAGCTCAGACCCAGAGGGAGGGAAGGGACATGGTTTTGGTGGCTAAAATCTGTGGGGTCACTAAAGGAGTGGGTACTCTAACTTTTCAGCCATACAAGCCTTCAGACTGTTGCTGGATGTGGTCTGTAATAGCAAACTCATCAGAGCAGTACTGCAGAAATACTTCTTCATTTGGATGGAGTGGGTTACACATTTTCATGATACTGAGAAAGTAATCTAGTTTGTCATTAATGAAACGGAACATATTGCAATGCAAATGAGTGGAGTTGCATGACAAGTGGTCCCAGAGTCCTCAGCTCTTGCTATTGATTGTGCAGTCTTAATTATTCATGCTATGCAAATTGCATTTCTCATCTTGCTCCTTCTTGTCTACATATTTTTGATACAGGACTTGCCTGCAAACAGTCTTGTTCTTTCACTTCAGAGACAAGGATTGTTTCTGGCAAAGTTCTTAATGTTCTTTTGTTGAGTGAGTACTGGCTGAGCTGGGCAAGGCTCAGGAGCTCTGTCAGAATGAATTCATTTTGCTGTAACTTGAGATAAAGAAAAGGAAGAGTTTGTGGAGTATTATTTAATAAGAGCAAAAGCTTTAAAATAGTTCTCAATCTATCTCTTTGTTTTCTATACTGAAGCCCTTATGATACTTGTTTTCTGGTCAGTTGTTTGGAATAGACGTGGGGAAGTGTTCTTTTATTCATCCTAAATATTATTTTACTTTTCAGGTATACTAAACCACTAACCTTTGCAGACTGCATTAGTGATGAATTGCCGTTAGGATGGGAAGAAGCTTATGACCCTCAGGTTGGAGTATATTACATAGACCACAACACCAGTAAGTGACATGTTACTGTATTTTTGCAGAGTGATTGTTTTGTGCCTGTGTTAAAATATACTGAACACAAACCCGCAGAATTGCTAACAGCATGTTTTAGAGTAGATGAGATCTGCTGCTCATGAAATCAAATCCTGCAAATTTCCATTGTACACGTTGCTTCTCTCTCTAAAACGGGAATTTGAAACCTTTTTGTGTGCGGTCCTTACATCAGCAGTCACTTTCCAATACCATGGACACACCTCTCTAAGATCTGGCTCTCTCTTTTGAGGAGTCTGACTAGGTAGCAATGATCTGGAGTTTGTTCTTAGCCTGGAATTTGTCCTTGTGGCAAGACCATTGGAAGCAGTGCAAAGGTCTTGTATTGATTCCCTTGGCAGGGATAAACTGAATGACTGCATGAGCTCCTTGTGCTGCAGGAGCTGGCAGTGCCTTTACTGGAGAGGCAACTCGCAGCTAGGCTTGGGATGTCCTGAGACCTCTGCAAGTTGGAGAAGAGCTAATTTTAGGCTTGTGGTGTTTTTATTCTGTGTCCTCAAACTAAGCCATTGCTTCCTGTCTTTGTTAGATTGCTTGATAGAAAAGAAGTGTTGAGTGTTACAAGCTCGCTTGAATAATACAAAAATACAGAATTTGATGTGTCCTTGCAGACGTTGTTAGAAAGCGTATATTGTATTGTTCTAGAACAAATCCCCTGAAAAAGGTAATAAACAGAATGAAACAGTGACTTCAGTTCTCTTTACAGAACAGCTCCAATTGCAGTCCAGAAGCTTGCAGTAGAACCATGTCCAGGCTCTTTGAAGGTGCTTGTAACTCATGCAAAGGCAAAAACTTTTAAAAGACAGAAGTGCTTTGAAGCTGGTTTTTGGTGGTTTGTTTTTTATCTGCTTCTAGGACTTCAGCTGAGAACTTCAGCTGGATTTTTTTCAGCAAATTACAATGTCTTTTTTAAAATAAAAATATGGAAGACCGTTTTACTCTTTTCTTGGCTATCTTCACACCCTTCACTTTTTCAGAAAAGCTACATTTTTATGTGGCCTGAGACTGCACCTTCCAAGTTCTAGTGACTTTTCTTGGGTATTAAAAAAGCAGAATGAAAAAAGTCTGTTCTTAAAAAGCAGTAACTGCCCTCTGCAATACAAAGATGAAATGTCTCCAGGTGTGAAGGTGACACAAGTATTTCTGTTCAGAGCTTAAGTCATCCCAATATCATGGTATTTACATATCTTTAATAGTCTTTATCCTAATAGTTTTTCTATGAGGCGAGGGATATTTACTCTTCCTTTAGCAGGAGAGGATAGTGGGGAAGAAAGACTAGACAAGCCTACAGGATCACACAAAGGACACCTGCAGGGGAGAGGACTGGACAAACTTCCCTTGAGAAGGTGCTAAATTGCAAGACACAAACTGAGGTCTCCTGTAGGTCCGTGAGACCTTGCGTTGTGCCCGTTTCACTCCCCCAAGAAAGCACTCTGGAGAGTTAACAATGAGGTTGCTTTTTAAAGACGGTCTTAATCTTCATGCTTTTTTCCGTCTCACAGGGCCTGGGATATTCCTATGCTGGCCGTGCTTACAAAAGGAGTAAGAGCTGAGTTTAGAAATCTTAGTAAGACCTTTTTTACCACCTCCTGAATGATTTCATGTTTTCATGACTGTCTGAAGGAAGCCAGGAAGAGAGAATAGCCTGGACAAGGTCTCCGGGAGGATCAAAAATGTGGTTGGACTTCTCTTTGCTGCTTTGGTGGTTGGAGGTTTGCTGTATCAGGTGCTGGGATGTGGGAGGGGCCTACCATAGTACTCCAGGTCAGGAGCAGACCAGAGACAAGGGCATGCTGCCTTCCAGCGACTCTGAAGAGCTTTGCTGTGTCAGACAGCAGTGTTAGATGAAGAGGTTCCTGCCAGTTCAGTTTTACCTGTACAATTCCTTTGTGGAAACTGTTCCCTGTCCCTTCCCAGTGAAACATCTGTGGGACTTGGTGTTTCTTCCCCTTAAATCAGTTCCCTCCTCTAGCTTATCAGGTGCTGACAGGGTCTGCTGCAGTAGATGTGAGCCTCTGCAGGTGCTGTGGGAAGTGGCAGCGTGCCCCAATGAAATAATATCCAACCCACCTTCCAAAGTGAGCGTCAGGGTCACCTCTGACCACAGGAAACACTTGGTTCAAGTAAAACGAACGAGTGTTTCCAAGAGTATTTTCTGTATCCCCTCTGAACTTTATCTTCAGTTTGATTTTTTTTCACATTTGAGTTGGCCCTAGGGTGAATGCACAGAGATTTGGTTGCAGGTCTGAGCCTTGTGTGGTCCAGGACACCTACCCCTGTGTCACTCAAATGCACCACAGGCTTCAAGGGTGTGCAGAGCAGGCTTCAAACCATGCGGACACTGGCTCAATAACAGTTGCTCTTAAGTTTCACTTCTGCGGGGTGCCAGAGGTGGCTACAAGACTTGACATAGAATTTCAATTAAAAGGTTAAAAAGAAGAGAAACAAAATTATATCCCTGTTTCTTATGCCAGCTCTAATCCAAATCATGATAAAGCAAACCATATCCACTTACCTCCAGCTAATCAAGAGGCTCATCTTTGTGGTTTATGTCGAACTGTCCTCTGGAGAGTTTCCAAAACCACCTTCCTCTTCAAGGTCTCTTGCAGATTCCCTGTGCAGGAAGGAACCGTCATCAAAGGGTATGAAGGGGATGGAGGCATGTTGGTTCTTGCTGCACACTAATTATCAGAAACGAGCCCAAGGACAGACCTACATTAAATGTAAAGCCAGGAGCCACTAAAGAAAGTGAGGTGGAGAACACTTCTAACCTTCTCTCTGAGGCAAAATAAATACAACTGAATAGAGTACCCAGAATATTCCTAATACAGTATTAATGCAGAGCCCTGAGTGTGTGTCTCTGGGAGAACTTTGTTGGAATTTGCTTTGCACAAAGAAACGATCATTTTCTTGCCAGATGATGATGCAAGCATAGTAAGACTACATTCTTCAAACATGAAACAATCAGATTTATTTATGACAAGCTCAACATTAAGTTAATTCACAAGACAACAAATGATGTAGTAGCCTTCATTTCTGTAGTCCTTTCATCTGAATTCTGAATGTATTTTGCATTTCTTGGTAGGTGGGGCAGATCAAGAGCTCTTGGCTGTTTTCATAGGTTGTTATTACATGTTTGAAACACAAAGCCCAACGCTGCAATTGAGGGGATGCTCTTAGTGCTGTGATTACTGAAAAAGTTGAGGAGAATATTTAGAAAAATGGGAACAAAGCCATTTCAGTACGTGAGTGGGTTGTCCATTCTCTCCGTGAGCTGGCTGCCATGGGTTCGCTTTGTCAGTTGGTGTAAGGGCTTGGGGCAGTGTCAGTGTTTCACCACCTCACAGAGGTGTGCAGGACTGTAGGTCTTTATAGTCTTCTTCCTGGTGGCTTGTAATGGAGGGATTTCCCTGCAGCAGCTTCCACCACTCTTCTTGCAACTGCAGACAGAATGGACCGATAGTTTAAGGGCAAATGAAATAGCCAAGCTTGAGGAGGCCATAGGCAAAGATAGACATGACCCAGTGTTCCAAATTAGACTTCAAGAGTTGTGAGTATTTTGCCAACATACTCATTAAAATTGAAAGGAGGAGTCCTGAATCGTGGTTGCTGGTGATGCTCATGCAGCCTAATCCAGGGAGGCTGCGTGCCTGGGAGCGTGGGGAGCAGCTCTGGGTGACTCGCAGCAGACACCCCCCCCTTCTGCTTCAGCTGTGGAGTAAAGGGAGTTATTTGGGTGATGACTAGCTGGAAGATGGGGGTTGGAGGCAAGAACAGAGACAGGAGCCTGATGTTTTCAGCCTCTTGCAGTTGCTATTCTGCTGCGTCTTCCTGGCTTGCCTTTTGCTGCCTGTGAAAGAGACCATAGTGCTGTCTGGGAGGGCACCAGCACCTGCAGCTGGCACGAGTAGCTGCTTTTTCCTCAAGTTAATTTGGGGCAGTTTTTCAGGTTAGGGCTTAGGATTAATATTGCATCAGCTGAAATGTTGCTTCTGCTAGCAGGACTTCTTGTTGAAATGCTTCTACAAAGTGTACTGTTAGTGTCTTGGAATTTCTCTCTAATCATCTTCTGGAGTTTTTGTAAGTTTTGCTATGTAACTTGAAACACCATGTGGTTTTTTGGATCTTGAGCTACTGTTAAAACAAGTTATCACTGTTGTATCCTGTTAGTTTTCTCCTCAGCATGATCATGGACAGCTTGTGAAAACAGTCGAGTGTCCATTCCTTGGGTAGAATCCTTTATTTCTAGTTCAGCTCCTGGGATTATTGTCAAAGTGCTCTCTTCCCACCACCCCGTGTAGTGCGGTGTTAGTCTTCTGCCTGACGCGCTGAAGAGCTGCTCGTACCTTCCACCATGGCAGCTTTTACTAAATATTTAAAGAGACTCTTAAGATATGCAGATTAGATTCCTACTGATAGTTTCAAGCAGCTCCTTTTTATTAATTATTCATTATGTGGTAACTAGGCATCCTTATTCAAGCATGGTGGTTTAGACAGTTTAGAGCACTGAGTCAACTGAATATTAGAGCCTCTTCTGAGCAAGAACATAAAATAACCTTGAAAGAGAAATGAAAAATATTTTGGATGCTTCTTCACAGAACTGAGACAAATACTGTTGATAAATTTGTCTCATTAGTGTTACAGCTAGCTGCGTGTCTGTAACCTTATGCCTTTTTCATGATTAGAAACCTGAAAAGCAATGTATTGGTTGCGCTGAGGTAATGGAGATGGAACTGGTGTAGCTGTTTGTGACTGTGTTGCCTGTGTTACCAAAAAAAATATTTTTCTTAAACTCGCCTCCTGTATTCTGCAGTGATTTACTACTGTACCTGCTTTCAGTGAAGGAAATGTTTACTCCCCTTCTGAGATCCTGTTTATATAATGTCATTTTAGATGCTTTCATGAATACTTTCTGTGATTTAATGAGTCTTTATTTTTACTTACCTGTGGAATTTTGAGTGAAAAGGGTTTCTTTCCCTTTTTTAATAAAAGCCACTTGGCAGCCAAAGAGGACAGGCAGAGTTGTAATTGTTTTCATGTTGTCAGCTGCAGTACAACGCAGTCATGTGGCAGTGATGTTTTCTGAAAGTTTTTTTTATTGTTGAAATAGTAGAGGTATTTTATTAGTAATGTTATAAAGCACTTGCAATAAAGATAAGTCTAACAGTCAGTGTCAGAGTCCTAGAGCTTGTGTGTACATATGCTTGTGTAGATGTTTTGAGAGGCAGAACCAGGATGGGTTCACAAGTAGAGCATCTGGAGAGCTGTATGATGGTTTCATCATGAATTGTTCTATACGGTGATTCTGCGTGGCAGAACTGCTATATTGGAGTTTATTGTGGATCAGTCACCTTCTAAGAAACAAGGAAAATGAACTTACTAGACTTTTTTATTATGGGATGGGGCAAGGGGCTGTTTAAAAATATTTCCACAAGTGGTGGAGCTTCTCCAGGCAGCAGTACAAACCTGCAGGTCATTGATCTTGCCTCTTTCTGTTTTCTCTCTTAAGAAACTACACAGATAGAAGACCCTCGTGTGCAATGGCGGCGGGAGCAGGAGCACATGCTCAAAGACTATCTCATCCTGGCCCAGGAGGCGATTGCTGCACAGAAGGAGATCTATCAAGTGAAGCAGCAGAGGCTTGAATTGGCCCAGCAAGAATATCGGCAGCTGCATGATGTTTGGGAGCACAAACTGGGCTCTCAGACCAGCTGTGAGTAGCTGGTGACCTCTTACCCCATGACTTTCTCAGCTGTGAGCCCACTAGGACTGTGAAATGCTTGAGGCTGGTCCTCTGATGGAGCGCTAGGATGTGTTATGCTTTGTTTGCTCAGTTTGCCTGAAAAGCAATAGCTGCCCATTTGGTAGCAGACAGTTTTTATGAAACACTGTTGTGGTTGGCTCAGTCACTGGGGTCAGTGTGCAGATTGTCCCCATGGGCTTCCGCAAATGGGAGAAAATGAAGTTAAATGGTATTTTCCTTTATTCCCCTGTTCAAAGAAACAAGGCAAGACGGCACATGTCAGAGAGCAGCCTCAGGCCCTTTTGGAGGTTCTCATCCTAGGTAGTTGAGTGACTGTCTTGGGTCTGTATTTTATGCCATATAAAAGCTAGCATTGTTGGATTATCTCTGCATATGATGAACATCTGTTTGTGCTCCATGTTCTTTGTCCCATGGGAAACATCAATACCTGTTGCTTCAAGAGTCAGTGCAGAGATATTTACAGAAGGACAGAGTTCCTCCTTATCATTACTGGTTAAGAGATGGAAAATGTCCAGGGGAGGATTTATTTCATGTCCAGGGGAGGATTTATTTCCTGGAGGTCTTCCAGATTGATTTTTTTTAATAATCTTTAGTACTGCAGACTTCTAATGTTCTTGCTAGCTACCTCAGTGGAGTGACTTCCCCCAGCTTCACTCTTGCTGGGTTATGTGTTATGGTGATGGATTCCACTGGCTAATCCTGTGCCTGATGTTAAAAAGGACTTAAGTAGCTTTCTGTTAACTGAAAAATTCTTATTTGACTGGGGGACCCACCCATCACCTCTAAAGTACAGTTTTTGGCCTTTTCTTAAGAGCAGCCTATGTAAGCGCTGGTGTACCAGAGCAGTACGCTAAGGACACCGTGAATGTGAATTACATTGCTGTGATCTGAAGATCACCTTTATTGTAAGGTGATCTGTCTTTTAAAATACAACCACAAAGAAAGAACTAGAAATGCTTTCCTGTGTTTTATAGGGCATAAACTGATGGCTGCAAGGATCAGAATATCTCCCTTGCTTACAGCTACCTCTAACAACACTGCACATTGGGGAGCTTCTGTACCTTCTGAAGCAGAAGGGGTTTAACCGCTGCTGAGCGGAGATTTCTGCTCTTAATGGGACATTGATTTAATCCAGTGTGACACATTGTAAGATTGGCCGTGTCCTCAAGGCTGTGAGAAGGCTTGCACCACATTTTTCAGTTTCTTCTCATTCTTTGCTTTTCTTTGTTTTTAAATGATTGTTTACTCAATGAGAAGATCTAAAAAAAAAAAAAAAAACCCACCACCTTTATGTAGTGCCTATCCCTTCAGTTCCATTAAATACCTCTGCAAGTGCAGGAAGCCACACTATTGAATGGAGTGAATGCCTTTGGGAGTCTGAGTTAAGTATGTTAACCTGGAACAAATGAAGACTTTGGAGATGGAAGATATGCTCTTGCCTCTTTAGTATATGCTTTTTGTGGAGTCCTTGACTGCACTATTGCTTTTCCCTGCCTTTGAGGAGGGAGAAGAGATGTGGAAAATAGGTAAAAGGCCTACACCAGCCATGTGTGGAGAGCTGGGTGTGCAGGAGCAGTGAGAGGTCTCAATTTGTAGTGGGGCTGGTAGAAGAGTAGGGAGAAACTTAGAGCTGCTAAATTGGGTGTTGTTTTTGTCCTAGTGCTCTCTGGCTCATCATCAAGTTCCAAGTATGACCCAGAGATCCTCAAAGCAGAGATTGCAACTACAAAATCCAGGGTAAGTAGTACCAATGGACCTTGCCTTCCCACGAGTAACCTGCAGGTAGTTCCAGACCTCGTGGCAAATATTAAAAAGAGATGCTAGAGCAGTTGAAAGAGCTAAAGTTGCCATCCTTTACCTAGGAGATAATTTATCAGGATTCTCAGACTTTTTTTCTGTTAGGCTTTGGGCTTCCTTGGAAGATACATGGTGGGGTGTTGAGCTGTGTGCTGGCTGCCCAGCTCTCCCCAGAGCCTGGCAGCTGCTCTGCCCTGGGCTTGGGGCGGGTTGTTAGCCACGGCAGTGTGCGCTCTCATGTAGAGCTCACTTTGGGGAGAAGAAAGGACTAAAGTAAAGTAGGTCAGTCTGGCCTCTCTGGAGGAATATAAAACAGCAAGCTGTAGGGTCAGTGGATTTACAGTCTGTGTTATCATCCTGCTGCGTTACTCATGCAGAGGCGCCTTTTAGTTTGGGATCTCGGATGATGGTTTCTGTTGCTGCAGTGTAACTCGTGTCCTGATGCTTAATGGTTTTTTTAATGACTGGGAAATTTTTAAACGTTTCTGTGTAAAATTGACCTGTGTTTCATTCCTGTCTCGAATTTTTCTCAGCTCTTCTGCATATGGTTGGGACTTGCCTTGAGCCTCTTATTAACTGGTGTAATGTCTGGGTACTGGATAAAACCCTAGCCAGTGATAATGCTCTGATGAGGATGCAGTCAGGGCTGTTAGCTGCTGTTGTGAGATGAGCTGATTATTTGGAAACTTTGTTTAGAGTACTGTCTGCACAGAGTAAGTTTTGAATGGAATGTGTAGTGCTGTACCTAAATATGCGTATCAAATGTGACCCCTTGCTTTGCTGCAGGTTAATAAGCTCAAGAGAGAAGTAGCTCACATGAAGCAAGAGCTCCAGTACAAAGAGCATGGATTTCAAACACTGAAGAAGTAAGCTTGTTCTCAAGATCTTATTTTCAGCATAGAACATCTCTGGCTTGTAATACATCCCCCTCTCCGTTTATAAATAGCTGTCTAAACATAAGCTGAAATATGTTGCTGCCACTGTCTTTAGGCATCTCCAGTTGAAAGCAGTACACAGCCATGGGGGTAGTTCTCTCAGATTAATGCCTGTATGTGATTAACCACATCAGAACTGACTTCATGGCAAGAACATTTTGAACTAGGGCCTCATCAGTTAAATGATATTCTGTTTTACTTGGTATTGCTCGGTGTGAGTGACATTAGAATCAGAGACTCATAGAATCATTTAGGTTGGAA